TCTTCAGTCTTCTGGGACTTGGTTCCTGGGCCCTCGCAGCAGCTACCCTGCATTGAGGCAGCTGGCGCTATCCAGGGTTAGTGTGGAGGGAGACTGCTTCACAGAACGTCACTGGCTCTGTCAGACAGTGGCTATTTGCTTCTTCCGTGGCTAGAACTTATCATAGCAGCTAATGGCTACCATTGGAAATAGGAGACTGGCTATTTGCTTCACAGAGGGAACTTTGCAATGTGGTCAGTTATAGGCTTGATGAGCTAACATTACCTTAGCTAACGCTCCCAGCCCTGGGTTCAGCACTTCACAGGCTCAAGATGATGGCTCTCAGCAACATTAATGAGCGTGTTCCCTTCCTCCTTTACACTGCCTCTGCTGAAGGTATACAGGGCTGTCACTGGACCGCTTCCTTCCCTTTTCCTGTGATTATGAGATCTGCTTAGAGATCTGTGGAAGTAATGGGCTGACGACAGCCACTGGTGCCAGCTGCACAGCTGCAGGGACAGTTTCACTGCCGCCGGAAGAGGCCCTGAAGCCAAGCACATAGCTCACTAATACTGCATAAAGCCACATTGAGAATGGAGGGAAGAGGAGCATGTCACGAGACCGAGATGACTTCCCTGGACACTCTGGTAGTCTGCTGGCAGCTGGCAGGACTCTCTTGGTTGTCAGAAGTGTAAGCAGTCTCAGAACAAAAGTTCCTTCCCTGGGAGTCAGAGACAAGGGGCAGTCACCCATCCCACCATGTTTAAAGTGGTAAGGAAGTGTTAGAGGAGACGGACCTGCTGACTGCATCAGGAGGAGCAGACAAGGTCTGGTGACCCCAGCCTCATCTTTGGAGTACAGCCACGTGCTTCATGGCTCTTTATAGAAGGAGCTGGGGTGGGGGAGAAGAACAGTCTTGGTCAAGATGAGGTCTGGTTGATCTTTGATCAGGGGTGCTCAGAGAAGTTGTTCCTGCTGTCCCCCTGAGAGAAAGTCTGGTTCTCATGAGATGATCACATCTGCTTGGGGTACAACCTTGCCAGGAGAAGTAACGGCCTCTTTGGGCACAGTCCACCCTGCTAGGCTCAGCGTTGCTTGTGGGTCCTTTGTCACAGCGTTTACAGATGAACCCTTTTCCTGGCATCTGAGATGTCTGTGAACAGACGTGAAGAAAGGTTCAAGAGGCAAATGCAGAATCAGGGAGGAATGAGTTCATGGAGTGACGGGGCCAGTGGCTGGAGTCCTTCTGCAGCACCCTTGTCTTTACCTTCGTGCTTGTGTGGTGGTCTTCCATCTGTGGAAGATACCACAGTGGTTTGCAGCTCACCCCAACAACTGAATTTGATGATTTCTGTAAAGACCCTGCATATCAAGGTTGCATCCTGACACAGAGTTTGGACCACGTATGAATTTCTGCCACAACTCAAGCCTTAACATTGAGTGTAGGCAACCCTTTCCTGGTGCCACCCTGCCCCCACCCCAGCGCTAGCTCTGATATCATAGGTAATAAGTGCAGATTACTGAGTAAAAATAGTGGGTGCAGTTTCTGTAGAGCATGATTTCCAGATGCAGAAACTCCACAGCGATTCCACACTGGACCTTAGACTCGCCAGCACAGGCCTGCTCCACGCTTAGACGTGTTCCTTAAGAAGCTGATCCTGTTGGCCATCTCTCCTCCCTCTTCTTGTTTCCCTTTCGGGATTAGGCCCAGCGGGGCTTACAGGAAAAGCCAGTCAGCTGCATGATGGTTGGCACCCTCTGGAAGACCCTCCTGTTTCTCTGGAAGGTTCTGGCAGATTGTCCTGCTGAGGCCTCCCCTCCATCCATCCATACAGCAGGGTTTCCTCTGTTAACCTCAGCACCCTGCAGGCTGCCCCATGCCTGGTCTCTTTTTAGGTTCTGTGATTGACTCATGCAAATCACTGTGCTATCAGTAAAGGTAGCATCCTAAATTTTGCTGATATATACATAAAGAAACAAATGAACAAACCATGCGTGGAGCGACCTCTCATCTTGGCCTGTCTCCGGGAGGAAAGTTGTCTGACTTTCTGATGGTTTCCTTTGGACCTCCCTGGCTCTCTGTCTTGATGAGGAGTGCTGTCCTCTTCCTTTCTCCCGTGGGTTAGGGTGGGAGCAGACACCTCCCCTAACCTGCCTTTTCAACCTCCACTTACAGCTCTCAGCCTGTGGGGTCAGACAACCCTTTCACAGGGGTTGCCGATCAAATAGCTTGCATATCAGATATTTACGTTACAATTCATAACAGTAAAATTACAGTTATGAAATAACAGTAAAATAATTTTTTGTTTGGAGGATCACAGCAACATGAGGAACTTATTAAAGGGTTGCAGTATTAGGAAGGTTGAGAATCACCGCCTTAGAGACTAGAGGAGAGCAATGGTGCCAAGCTGGGAGGTAAAAGGCCAAACGGTCCTGTAGCGCCCGTGCCACGACAAGATGGTATGCCAGCCGGGAACACAGCTGGAGACTTAAAGACAGACAGAGACACAGAGAAAGACACGGACACGGGTCATCCTTGATAGAAGAATGCCAAACTTCACTGTGCTGGGGCAGCTTAAATAGGGATTCTTAGCCACGCCCAGCTCTCCCCATCTTTCAGCTGCAGGCTCATCAGGCTCAGAGCAGCTGCAGGCTCAGCTCAGTTCACCCCACCAGGCAAAGGGTCTGAAGCAAGCAAAGAAAGTCAAGGGGCCAGGGGTCTACAGCTCCCAACAGCAGAGTTTCTCCCTAACAATGCCAGCTTACTGGCCAGCTTGTTGTCCTGACATTGCTGTACACATAACAACTTTGTTAACTGATTTAGGTACTCATCAGTCCCTGAATGTTGAAAAGAGGGAGAACATCAGGCTTAACGTGGCTATCATTTATATAAAATATTTTATTAAATGTATTCATTGTGAGTATATGAACATGCGCACACGCACACCGTAGCGTATGTGAAGGTGGGGACAGTTTGAGAGTATTCGCCTCTTGTCATGAGGGTCCCAGGGATCAGACTCAGCTCCTCACCTTGGCAGCTAGCACCTTTACCAACTGAAGCCATCTCCCGAGCGTAGTTACCCACTGTTTTTTGTTCTTTGAAACAGGATCTTGCCTTGTAACCCTGGCTGGCTCTAAACTTGTGATTCCCTGCTTCTGCCTCCTGAGAGCTGCTTACCAGGTGTGTGCCTCCTTGCCCAGACTGTAGTCATTCACAAAGGAAAATGCATAACCTTCAATTGTACTTCAGAAGAGGGGAGTTGAGTCACCAGGCATGAACTCTGACCTTAAGGAGAACATCCTTCCATCCCAGCTCTTATGTCTGAACCTTAATACCAGGTTACCCTTTGGAGTATTTTACTAGTTTTAGAAATTACCAGCCACTTAGTTGTTTCTTGTGTTCCTAATGTGTTTCCGCACATTAGACCTCCCTGCAGGGAACTGATACTCTCCTGTCCTGTCTTTGCCCATGTGGCCTTACAGGTCTGAAGAGTGGCTGGAAAGCAGCGTTGGTGGTGGTTTTATTCTTTAGACACCACTCTGTCAAGCACGAGGACAGGAAGACTGCCGCTCACTGTCTGGTCACAGTAGAATTCATGCCGCAGTCTAGAATGTGATTGGACAGTATAGTGTTCAGTCTAGAATGTGATTGGACAGTATAGTGTTCAGTCTAGAATGTGATTGGACAGTATAGTGTTCAGGACTGAACAATAAAGGTTGGTTCAAGTGTGGAACCCACAAAACAAAAACAAAAACAATGAATACCCCGTGGGATAGAAAACAGTAGAGGAGCAAGGTTGTGAGTGGCCAGATGCACCCAGGATTTAAGTGTCTGGGTGTGGAGAAGCAATGCCTGTAAAACCAGCCTGTACAGTTAAGCTTGAAATCCTCACGTCTTTTCAGAATGGTTGTGGAGGAGAGGAGGGTGGCGTGTGGAGTTATAATGGCCACCACCAACAGAAGGAATGACGACCGTGGTGCTGCCAGGGCAAGAAGGTGGGCCCCGTGATTAGCTTCTCCATCTTTGCTGTTTATGAGGGTAAATGGGCAGCAAGGGAAACCAACAAGCTTTTCCATCTCCGAGAGACAGAAAGCCAACACAGAAACAAACTGTACCGTCTTCTGGAGTCAGAGGCACTTTCCGGGTCTCCACCCCACACACGTGTGAGGGCTGTCAGCAGCTGCAGAACTTCAGAGGGCTACCGTGTGGACTGTCGCTGTAGAAGGTCTGCTCACACGGAGTTTATACTCCCTCAAGCGAAATGCCTACTGAATAAGACTTACAGGAGACATTTTGTGTTGGGAGTTTTCCTTAAGGAGGCTCATGTCTCTGTCTGTTTTTCATGCACACAATATTTAATACCGAAAAATATGACCTGGCATGGGCCGAGGCGCTGTGGAAGTGTCTTTGCAGCTTTCAGAAACACATCCTTCCACCTGGGGGCCCAGCCCCAGCACTGCAGGGATACCACCTGACTGCTGGCGTTCCTGCAGAGACTCCTGTGCTTGGAGCTCTGTATTCCTGTACTGCAGCTACTGTATCCTCTGTAGTGCTGACACAGTGTGGCAGAGCCCTCAGGCTGCAGTGTGACTGTCACAAGCCTGAGGCTAGCCCGGGCTGTATAGCAAGACCCTGACTCCAAAAAACAAACAAAAAAGTATGTTTTAAAAGTTGAAAATGGGGGGGGGCACACTTCTTTAATTCCAGCACTTGGGAGGCAGAGGCAGGTCTCTGAGTTCTAGGTCACCCTGGAGAAAAACAAACAAAAAACCCTAAACTGTGATAGAAAGCATGGTACAGCATTCATATTCAGAGATGGCTCAGTCTTACAGAACTTAAAAAAACTCCGTAGCTCTGTAGATGTGGGGCTGGTTTGTTGACAGTTTGGTGCTGTTGTTGGCACAGCTCTCCCGCTGCTGCCCTTGTTAGACACTCTGTGTGAGTCCGTGGCTCGTGGCAGTGGGTAGGATCTTTTACTCTAGATCCTAGCAAGTTTTCATCTTGGCATTTTTTTTTCCAGAAAATATCACTGTGAATATAGCTTCCAACCAGACCAGTGAAGTTAACAACAGCACTGTGACACCATTAGGAACTTCAGGACTGCCAAAAAATGTCACAACTGTCACTATGAAACCTGCAACTATTGCTAAAATATCAACACCAGGGGTCTCACCACACGTGACTTCCACTGCCTCAAAGTCTACACCCAAAGCAAGTGCTTCCCCAAAGTCAACCCAGACAGCAGCATCCATGATGACCACAGGCCACAGCAGTTTAAAGACATCTATCACGAGTACGTATTAAAATTACTTCTGTTCCTGTGCTGTAAATTAGTTGTTAAAGCCAGCATTCCATTCTGCAAAAATACAAAAACTTTCATCTGCCAAATTTTCTCCCATTGCCACATCCATTTCTTCCTAGAAATCCAGGCTTCAGAACATGCAGTGTTTAAAGCGCGGCCGTCTGTTGTGTTTCCTTCTAGTCACAGCGACTGTCCATTCTGACAAGAGCAAAGGATCAAAGTTCGACACCGGCAGCTTTGTTGGAGGAATAGTGTTAACTCTGGGAGTCCTATCTATTCTCTACATTGGATGCAAAATGTATTATTCAAGGAGAGGCATTCGGTATCGAAGCATGTAAGTTTGCCGTTCTACATGCTTTCTCATGCCCAGGACCAGAGTCAGACCAGCATCCTCTTGAGGAGAGAGACCTCTGCTATGCTCTTGTGCAGACGTGTGCTCACAAAGGAAACATGTCTGTAGGCATGCTTATGGTTTCCCTCGGATCAAACACTGCTTACCAACATTTAGCAAACTCCTTTTGTTGACTTCTACCATGCATCATAAGAAATGACACGAGGTTTCATCAACCTAGTGACTTAGTCCACATGCCCTGTATATGTCAGTGGTACCAAAGAGGTTTTTTGGTTAAAAACATGGTTTTTGCTTTTTATGATAAAAGACACAGACACAGAGGAAATTCCTCTGCTTAATTTTCCCTGGTGATAGTAGTTACTTTAGGTACTAACTCCGTAAGCCAGGTATGGTGTCCATGGCTTATAATCCTAGCCTTTACAGTTGGCTGACTTCTGGATTTTACCCTTTATGGGGTAAGTTTTTCCCTCATGTGTGCATGACCAGGTAACGGCATGCCCCCCTTGAAAAGTCTCAGGGATTTGACTCTGGGCCTGTTTGGCAATCTTAACCACTGTAATATTCTGGGTATGCACAAAGCCTACAGGTATGCTGAGCAGCAATAATTAATTTTGATCATAGAAATGGAAATTATTCTAAAGTTACCTTCCTTACAAATAATAATTTTACAGTAATTTAAATTTTCTATATTTTACAGTGATGAACATGATGCCATCATTTAAATTACTCCACTGGCCAAGGAAAGAAGAGAGACTGCAGCCCTATCAAATAGTTTGGTTTATATTAGTCTGAAATATTATTTTCTTGAAAATAGTATTAGCAAATCATGCATAAAATGAACAATGTGTTCCATGAATGTGTGAAAATCCCTTATTATTAAAGGTAAAGGGTGTAGTCTGGGCAGTTCAGTGAATATTTGGAGCTAACAGGTAATTTATCCAGTGGTTACGTATACTTTAGAAAGTCATAGCAAGACAAGTCCTGTCCTTCAGAGGGTGCCATGACACTGATTGTCACCGAGGGGCAGGGTCCCACAGAGTTGCAGAGCCTATTGCAGCAGTGTCTGGTTGATCACATAACGAACTTAAGTGCCATTCAGTGTTGGGTTGTGTCCTGATTCACTCCTTGGGTTCCACAGCTCAGCTAACCAGCAAACCTTGGGAAGTCCCCACATTTTAGGGTTTATAGTCAGGGTTGACCTAGCAAGAACTTGCACCCTGATGCATCCCTCACAGCACCGTGCTTGTGTTAAAGACCCCCGGAGCACTGTGGAGCCTGGCCTTCACTAACCAGCTCTTTTCGGCTATTCGTATCGATGCATGAATTTAGGAACGCTGCCGCACTTGACATGCTTCTCAACTGCAGCAGGCCTGGCGATCTAGGAGAACAAGTGGACTGCCGCCGTGGAAACCTGTCACACCGCTGGAAACCGCTGTACATGCGCTCTTGTCAATTTGAGTTTTAGTGAATGTTTTTTAGGCAATGTAGAGCTGCTCTCCATATACAGAAATTTGTGATGGAATGTAAAATACATAAGTCCCCATTATATGATATGCAAATCAGTATTTAGAAATCTATATTGGCAGCAAAATGCTGTGTTTGCTAAACCAGGGATCAGGACCCCACCCCGCCCCAGGTCAATAAACCTACAGGGTGGAGATGCTATATTTTTTACACTATCAACTTACTCAGTTTTGAGAAAATGACTTTTTTATACTAAGCTGTATTTTGGAGTAAATTCCAACTTCCTTATTCCCAGGCCCTTTCCTTACCCTGGAAAGGGAGCTGCATCCTGGTGTTTCCAGCAGAAGCTACATCTGGTCACCCCTGCAGCCCACGCTCTCTGAACCTGGTCACCCCCGCAGCCCACGCTCTCTCTCTGCATTTAGTTCTATAGTTTATATTCCAAGTCAAACTCAGGGTCAAGTTTAACGAAAGAGGTGTTTAGTGTCAAAATACTAATATAATATTTCTATTGCAGAGGGCCAGAATAAATTACAGGAATTTCTGAAAGTCTAGCAATAAGCCAAAAATGTCCTAATGAGTGCTCACCTGTTACAGCTAAAAATGTAAGTGTAACTTTTGTAATCTGCTTCTGGTTTTCAAAAAACTAAAACTACCAAGAAATTTTTATATAAAGAAGACTCATTTCTACTTGCTGTATATCAGGGCCAACCAATGTGGTAAAACATGGAATGCTCAAATCTACATTAACCCAGAGAGAAAGGAGGAAATGCTAGGAAATGGAGCACGGACTTAGGCTGGTCTCAAGTGTGGGCTGATGGAAAATGGGTGCTTTCTTCTCTTCAGGATGAGGTGTAGGGTGCTGTGGTGGTGAGGGCTTGTTTTGTTTGCTACTGCAGTACCTGCGGGTGATCTCCTTGAAGACTTGTTTCTTTAGCACTTTGAAGACAGAACCATTTTCTTAAAGCACTGTCTTAGAAACTTTAGAAACTTGCCCTCATTTCCTCTGATTTGGGGGTTAAAGCGTAATGTTGTTACATTTTTTTTAATTTGTTACTTTCAAATACCAGGACTTTTATTGAAAGGATTTCTTTATAATCTGCCAAAACCAGCTTAAGCAAATGCTCGCCTTTCCTGGCCTCCCTACAGAATATGTTAAGATAAAACAGTTCCTAGATGTTCATTGTACACCAGGCAAGGCTACTCTGGCTTTAAATTTGCTTCAGAAATTCTATGAAAGGGATAATTCTAAGGTAGAGAAATTAGAGTTGGTAACATTTTATGGTGTCATACTTTTGTATCTTCTGGGGAAGATTAGCTAACTCTTGTTACCGTTTTTCTATAATGACCAGTTTTGGTATCTCCTTGTTACTAAGATCTATTTTTAGAATAAAATTTGTTCTCCACTCAAAGTTTTTAGTGTTTGGTTGAATATGTACAGAATTTCCTGTTTTATTTATCCACTATATAATCCTGTTGCATGTACAGTAAAGACCGTCTTTCACATCAGAGCCAGGCCTCGGATGGTTAATCTCACAACAGAAATGTCCTTTCCTTGGTACAGGCTTTGAAAGTTTGCAGCAGAGTCTCTGATTTCTTCTGTCTTCTTGGGTTCGGGTTTTTTTTGTTTGTTTTGTTTTGTTTTGTTTTGTTGCACAGATTAGCAACCATCCATTTCTGCCAGAGGCTGCCACCCCACAAACACATCACTCACCACATGGCAGGCCCTTCCTTATTCCGGAATCAGAGATGCCGTCTCTCCCGACCCTGCACAAACTCGGAACACTCCAGACTTAAGTTCTGAGGCTGCACCATACCTACCTATGCGTCCATCATGGGAGACATCCCAGAGCAAGCTTGTTTGCACATGTACCCTCAAGCCACGGGTACATTTAAATAACAGCTTGGCTGTCAGTGAGACTTAGACCTTCCTTGCTTCAAACCTTGACCCCAGGCCTGGACGTCCAGCCAACATCAGTGCTTAAAAGGCCTTGTCCTTGGGCCCCTAGCACCACTGTCTAATGAGCCTATTTACTAATACTAGCTCCTCTGGTCACCATAGAGAAAAATAGACCTCACCTTCACCCTGCAGCCACTGTAGCCATGTGCATGCTACATGCTGCTGTTCCCAGTCATGCTTCACAGGTGGTGCCTAGAGACGGTCATGGACTCCAATCTGAGAACCCACACATCAGTCTCTGGGTCCATAGCCTTTCCACAGACACCACCCTGCAAATACGAGTGATGTCACCCGCAAGCTGGACCCAGGGCCTTGACAAGCCTTAGCAACGGCTTCTGTAGTGTGCCTTTTCATCCCCAAGTGTGAGTCCTCTGTCCCAAAGCCATCCTAAAAGTGACAGTGCCACTGAGGGCACAGAAATCAACAAGAAATACAAAGTCAGGGAGACATGAATACCAATCAACTGCTTCCCCGGAACTAGAGATCTCCAAACTGCTAATATGCAATAATTCAGGGTTCAACATAATTACACACATGACAGAGTGGAGATTGCGGCACAGTGACGTGTTAAGTCTACACACCTGTAAGGAAACAGCTTGATACTCAGCATATAAAAAATGTTTCTTGCCTATGTGCAGGGGAGGGGTGTTTATCCATGATTAGTTGGCTACTTTCTTTTGAGTTCATCCATGGTGGGGCAGAGTATCATGGGAAGAGATATCAACGTAACAGAGGAAGCTGTTTCTGTGGTATCGCAGGTGACTGGATCCAGGACTCCAAAAGGTACCAAAATCCACTTAAAATTACCACTAGAGTACTTACAATATATTCCTAGTACAATGAAAACACCATATAACTAGTGGTCTAAGCCACAGATACCGGTGACAAAGTATACAGTCATCTGAGAAAAAAGATGTGAAGAAATGAGATCCTACAGTTTATGAACTAGCATCAGAGGTGAAAATGCTGAATACAGTATTAAAGAAAAATGACTTAGAGGAATAATAGCTAGAAATGCCCCAATTTCTGAGGGGAAAAAGTTTTTTAAAAATCCAGGTATGGAAAGATTCAAAGTCACAAATCATATTTGATTCAAAATGGATTACACTGTTGGACATTACAATCAAATTTCCAAACACTGGTAGAATCCTGAACACAACAAAAGATGCACAACCCACACAAAAGGCTTCAATTTTACCCTCAAGATCTCAGTGGAGACCTGGCACGCTAGAAGAGTGGAGGAAAACAAAGACCCAACTAAATGGCAAAGCTGTCCATCAGACGCAGTGATAGAGACTTGCCAAAACAAGTGTGCATGGTGGCCCATTATTACACTCCTAGAGGAGAGAGCCTTCCAGAGTGCTTGTGGGCACCACCTGGCTTCAGAATGAGCGTCAGAAAGATGAGGTGTTTGAGTGACAGCTGCTCTACTGTTGGTGGGCATATGACATGAAAGGATAAATTCTTACTACTTGTGTATAAAAAAAGTGAGGATAATCAACTCTGAATATATTTAATAAATTCCTTAAATATAAATGAACTAAAACCTCTAGTCAGAACCATTGACTGAGCTGGAAGATGCTCAGTGGGTACAGTGATCATTGTGTAAGTGCCAGGAGTTTGGATTACCAACACCCACTTAAGGGCTAGGGGTGGCGGTGCATACCCATAAACCCAGTGGTGAGTAGCAGAGACCCCAGCAGACCCCTGGGGCTTTTTGGCCAGCCAATCTGTTCAAAAAGTGAGCTCTAGGTTCAGTGAGAGAACCCGTCTCAAAAAATGAAAGAAGATGGAAGTAGAGGAAGATGCAAAGTAGAGGCATGTAAATCTGGAAGTCACCCTGTGACCTCTGCATACACATGCGCAGATGAACACACATAGCACATCCTAAAGTCACCCTCTGACCTCTGCATACATGCGCAGATG